AGAAAAAACACAACAAAACGGAAATAACAAAAAGAAACAAAACAATTAAACACTTCCAGGAAAGCAGTTTGTCGGCAGATGTACCACGAACACAGAAATAACGAAAGGAAACAAAACAAATAAAAACTTCCAGGAAAAAACACTTGGTCGGCAGATGTACCACGAACACAGGCCGCGCGAACAATGGCCGGGCTAACAAAAGCCGGGCGCACAAAGGCCGGGCGATCGAGTGGTCGATGGGCACGTCCGCACGAGACGGGTGCCTCTATCGGAATGAGTGCTAAGTTGCGTCTCAAACTGTGACTATGAGTTTCATTACCTAACTACTGGCACTTTAAAGCAGTTAATGTTGGAATCACTACCTATGGTATCGAACGGGTTCTTGCTACCGTTTCATCTAAACAGTTTCCCCTTCAACAGCCTTCAGCAACTCCATTTAATGCTCCATGTTTTTTTTTTTTTTTTATTGCTTAGATGGATGGACGAGCTCACAGCCCACCTGGTGTTAAGTGGTTACTGCAGCCCATAGACATCTACAAAGTAAATGCGCCACCCACCTTGGGATATAAGTTCTAAGGTCTCAATTATAGTTAGAACAGCTGCCACACCCTTCAAAGAGCAACGCATGACTGCTTCACGGCGGAAACAGGCGGGGTGGTGGTACCTACCCGTGTGGACTCAAAAGACGTCCTGCCACCAGTAAAAAATGTTTCAACATAAGTGACGGCATTCGTATTGCTAAATGTATAGGTTCTAGTATCTCTTTAACACAAGAATTCTAAAGTGTTCATTATCTTATCTAAATAAAACATTCGGAGAAGTCTCTAGTAATCGACAAAAGATCTCATATTTTCTTTTTACGTTTAACTTTGTCTATTTATGAGTAAATAAATAAATATAGGTATTATCTTGTGCTTGTTCAGATATTACCCAACGTAACTGTATAGATAACTAGCGACCCGCCCTCGCTTCGCTTCGGAAACATTAAAACACACATGAAACCAAAAAAAAAAAAAAATTAAAAAAAGTAGCCTATGTTCATCAGGGACAATGTCGGCTTCTAATGGAAAAAGAATTTTTCAAATCGGTCCAGTACTTTCGGAGCCTATTCGAAACAAACAAACAAACAAATCTTTCCCCTTTATAATATTAGTATAGATTATGGTTATGTGTTACAAAGAAAAAATCACTTTACAAAAAGCACGGATCAGAATTCCCGATAGCAGTTACTAAGTACAGCTCTATAAAACCCACAGAGGAATCGCTTCGCTGCTATTGACAATTGCTTTGGGACAAGTCGTGCTCAAACCGTTTTCAGTCTTCCCTCTCAAATATCAAGTCTGATTCTCCTTTGTAATAGTCTGAAAGGCTTTGAAAGTCAGTTTTGAGTGCAGAAATCTTAAGTGATATCAAAAAGTCAGTAATAAGGTCGGATCTGAGATTTTACAGTTACGAAAATCAGCTTTATCAATAGGACATTATGTTCATTTTCATGTACGCAGTTATTTGGATATTCGATTTTATTCAGGGGATTTTATTTAAAGAGTAGTTTCCTCTATTGGCTTAAGGAGAAAGGCTTTGNTGAAAGTCAGTTTTGAGTGCAGAAATCTTAAGTGATATCAAAAAGTCAGTAATAAGGTCGGATCTGAGATTTTACAGTTACGAAAATCAGCTTTATCAATAGGACATTATGTTCATTTTCATGTACGCAGTTATTTGGATATTCGATTTTATTCAGGGGATTTTATTTAAAGAGTAGTTTCCTCTATTGGCTTAAGGAGAAAGGCTTTGTATCTTTGAAGAAACCCTTGCTTTTGCTGTTTAATCGCGCGCAAAAGTAAATTGATAAGTTTCAACCTTTCACCCCTTTCGAGAATTTTAAATGTAGGTTTTTTTTTCTCTGTAGTATGTTTAATATATTATAGTACAGTATTCACATTGAAGATAGTTACAAGATTGTTTCTTATAAAGTATTTTAGCAGTGAATTGAAAATAAATTTGGGCCATTCAGATCAAAATATCCGTTGTCAATCATTCGAAAAAATTAAATGAAGGTATAATTTTGTAAATGAATATTTTGAACTTTTGTGAATGCTACTGTTTCAAAAAAGCACCGGGAAAATATTAATACTAGTACAAAAAATGTTACCGGTTCATCCAAATTTATTTTATCACCTTCAAAGAATGCTTTCAGAAACTATAAAGTTTATGCCAACGATGCCAATGATGAGATTAAAAATGTTTTGATGATTGGATTATATCATCAAAACATTTTTAATCTCATCATTTTGTCGGAATTGAGATCGGTTCTCGCTGCTAAATTTCCATTGTCTTTTACCGAATGAAAACCACGAAGTGGTGATTTGTATTTATTAAAAATAACAAAGTTGAACGAAGTCATATCTGGTGGTTGCTCGATGTTACTTGTGTTTTTGGTTAAGCAATCCTTCACAGTGTTGGCCTTGTGTGAAGCGCCTTCACATAATTATCGTGGTGCAAAATCCGAGAATTGTCTTCCACAAATCTGGCCCGATCCAATTCGATCTCTTCAATGCCGCTTACCACTGAAATAATACTAGATGATGAACGAATTATAATTTGCGTAATTACTGGTGGTAGGACATCTTGTGAGTCCGCGCGGGTAGGTACCACCACGCCGCCTATTTCTGCCGTGAAGCAGTAATGCGTTTCGGTTTTAAGGGCGGGGCATCTGTTGTAACTATACTTGAGACCTTAGAACTTATATCTCAAGGTGAGTGGCGCATTTACGTTATAGATGTCTATGGCCTCCAGTAACCACTTAACACCAGGTGGGCTGTGAGCTCATCCACTCCTCTAAGCAATAAAAAAAAACATATTACGAGTATTTGTCATAGATTATTTAAGTAGTGTTGTGTTTACTCACTTCAGTGATTGGTGATGAGCCCCTCAATATTCTTTGAGTACGTTTTATTCGTATTCAGAGCACGATCCCAATAGCTGTTCTTGCACAAGATATTGGCAGCGGTACTTGTAGACTCATTATGTTCCCAAGCGAGTAGTTTTTTTTTGGAATGCGTGTGAAATTTATTGCAGACATGTAAATAGGTTACTAGTGCTAATGGACATCATGGTATGAATGCCATCACCTACTTAGAGATATACTGGAGACTTAGTTGGGTTTTCACTGTTCGTTTAAGTATATTATCATAAGCTGAGAGGAATGGCAAACTATAGGCAAGGACAGAGATCAGTGGAAAGGAATGGAGGAGGCTTTGACCGGAGGAGGGGTCCATATCCAATAACAAAAACTAACTCTTACTAACATTTAGACATTATGCAAAACGTTAATAATCAACTAAACATTAACCAACTAATACTGGATTTGCAATGAAAATTAAGGATAAGGAAATACAGGCTTATTCATTTCATTTTCATTCATCTATATATTAATACGTGAAGCAAATACTTTGTATCCCTTTTTACGAAAATTGCGCCGCCGGAGGAGTATGAAATTTCCCACACTTATAGAGAATACAGAGAAGGACTGCAGAATGTTAATATTTTTTTTAAAGTATGAATTAAAAATACGTTAATTTAATAAATAAAAACATTACACACACTTACATGTATTTGGCACACACACGCATGCATAATGTTTTGTTTATGGTCAAACTTTTCTTATTGCTTATAGTCTATGGTCAAAAGTATTGTTACAGTAGATATTAAAGGTGTTTGTCTAAAGTGTAGTCTTAGCGAAATCTGTAAATAAAGAAGTATAATGTTCTTTGACAATAGAATCATAATACGTAGTGTACAAACTTATAATTTCATTTAATTATAGTCGAATTTCTAGTATTGTCATAAAAACTAGTGCAAATAATTAAAATATTGATTTTGAATCAAAGTTAAAAAATATTAGTTTAGGAAATGATAAACGGAATTCTTAAATGGTATAGTTTTATTTTTACATAATTTCATTTATCATAATAATTTTATGTTATCAATGTTATTACACAACTTCGTTTTATTGTAAATCTACACTACATCTATTCGATCTCAATGTTTTAATATCTCTTAATTTCTCCATTAATCACTTAAATACATATTGTAGACGACATCAAACTTTTTAACTTAAAACTTTTTGCAAAAATAGAAATGCTTACTTTATTTTCCACAGACACAAAATTTTCTATTATTTTTTTGTTAAATTAAAAAAGTAAAACATGATTCAAAAACTAAAATCAGTTTGACGAAACTACTTCACAATTGGTCATAAGAAACGAAAGAAAAATTAGTTAATCAGGGCTTCGTCTCGAAATATATCTCCTTCTCTTTCGCTCGTTGGATTGAGCTGATAGTGACGTCACAATTCGGAATATTCATTTATATTTGTTTCTTAATTGAATTGACCGCGCACCAATCTCGTAAGGTCTCCGTTTTAGTAATTCATTAACAATGTCTAAATTTACTCCCATATTAAATTCAAGATTAGTTAACGTTTTGTTGAAAACAATAAAAATTGGATTGATGTCTCTCGATGAAACATCTGAGGATCTCTCGGTGAAACATCTGAAATATTTTCTCAACGAAAATTCGTAATATTGCTTTATTCTTATCTATAATTCTTTCAATAGTTCGGAAAGTCAGATTTTATTTTTAACTTAACGTTTTTTTAATGATGTGATTCTCAAATCTAATACTTTACTGCATCATTTATTTTGTCTGCTTTTCAATTTTCTTTTGAGTTATGAGAAACCAAAAATCCTATTATTTTAGGTACATGCCGCTGATTAAGCTCAGCAACTACTTATATTATTATATAATTTGGTCAGATAAATGAAATATATTATCGTTAGATAAAATCGACCTAGGTAAACTTTGTTCGTATGTCCTGAACTTTTATTTATAGAGATTTGTAGTTGATTCGATGACTAATGGACCGATATCGCTCATAGTTTGGTCTGATATCATAATCTGAGCGTCGCGAGAGAAAAATATATATAATTTATTATTAAGTCTCAAAAGCTCAAGTTCATCGCATCATCCTGGTTAAAAGATACTTCCTTGATCATAGAATGCTGTTCAGCAGAATGGGAGCTTCTTAAGCTTGATACTCCGAATTTACTCCTCAATGGAGGTCTACCCCTAATCCGGCCCTCGTACTTGTGCTTCTTGTGGTTCAGAGGACTGGTGTCAGGATCGGTCATATCCTGGCACTTACGTTTGGACGAGGAAGAGTCCATTGACGATTCGGACTTGTATGGGGTTGTTGATGCTGAAAGAATGGTATTGTATTAAAATGATAATAATAATATAGCCTTTTATTCAGATCTCTTAGTACAATGAATTTTTAAACTTATGTAAAATCTAGCATTAAAATCTAAAACTTAATAGATATGAATAAATTTAAACTAATATTTGTTGCTTGGTTATTTTTCCTAGACCTGTTTGCCAGTCGGCAAAGGCCTCCTCAAACCTTTTCAGGCAGGAGTTAGTTTCTTATTTTTATTGCCCTTGTAGGCAGATGAGCCTACGGCCCACCTGATGGTGAGTGCTTACCGTCGCCCATGGACGTCAGCAATGCCAGGGGCAGAGCCAAGCCGCTGTCTAAAATAGATACGGCAGCCAAGTTTAAAGTAAAATTAAGATGTCGTTTGGATTACAATGTCTATACGTAACTTAAGCATATCGCGATTCATCGATAACAATAAAAGTTAATGGATGTAGTGTTATGCTGGTATAAATCTGTGCATGAATCTTGAATAATGAAACTTATTTAAGCCTCAATGGCATTGAAACAAATCTATCTCAGACAGGAACGAAATAGAACGATAAATTGATGGTTGACATAAAGAAAGACAAGATTTGATTTTTTTTCCGTACAAAATTATACGGTCAAAATCTAAAGTAAACCTTAAAAAAAACTTTTCTCATACATTTCAAACTTTTGGAAGTTAATATATTTCCAGCATCAAATTTTCATTTTGAAAATAAAAGATTCTGCCTATCGCCCTGAACTTAGTATAAAGTGGCTGATTTTTTGAAACGGTAAACGCGAGCCCCTATGCCATAAATATTCACGTCAGGACATAAAAGTTTTGGCATAAAAGATTGCTGTTCAAGAGCTAAAAAGTTTTATGATGAGGAAAGAGGGAAATTTAAGGTATTTTTCTTGTAACAAATAAAAAACTAACATCCTGGTTTATAGGTAATTCAAGGGAAAAAGTATAATTGGTAGAAGTAATACTTGTTGTAGGGCCTTACTGTACTCTCTGCTCTGTTTCAAGGGTGTGCAAGGGTAATTGGTATTCAAAGTAGCCAAGACTGTGGTAGACTTTGGGCAAGAATAAGTACCAAAGCTTAAAGCTTTTTTTTATTGCTTAGATGGGTGGACGTGCTTACACTCACAGCTCACAGCCCATTTGGTGTTAAGTGGTTACTGGAGCCCATAGATATTTACAGCGTAAATGCGCCACTCATCTTGAGATATAAGTTCTAAGTTCTCAGGTATAGTTCCAACGGCTACCCCACCCTTCAAACCGAAACGCATTACTGCTTCACGGCAGAAATAGAAATGGTGATACCTACCCGCGCGGACTCACAAGAGGTTCTACCACCACTGTCCATAACAAAACATGGTGTGGGATATTGTTGTGCTATGAGCTATATACTATATGCTATTATATTATAGCGTAGTCTGAAAACTTCTTAATACCAAAGTAAAATGAAAACTATAAAAATATAATACAATTGGATATAATTTGAGGTCTAGATAATAGAGGTCCTACTACACATTTTTATAATGAAATCTATTTTTCTACATAATGTCATTGACAAAAAGACCACCATATAAAGTTATACTGAGATTCATTTTTTTTTTTGCGTTTATTCATTTTTTCCTTCATATTTAACTTTCCGTGAGTTTTTGGTGACAAAAATGTTAATACATCCTGATCCGAATACCCGGAAACGGAAATTTCAAATAAACTTGCGAAGCTCCGTGGATGTATTGGTAGAGGAAGAGTGAGGGACCATCATTGTGCTTTTTTATTAGCTTCAATAAAAACAGATTAGTTTAAGCGCTCGGGAAGTCGCGTTCTCAAAGAAATATTAAATCTAGCGTAATCATAGAAACACAACTGTACATTCAACAATTCTCATATTTTTAGTCGAGATTCAGTATTTAAAAACGTATAAAAACAATGCAATATCTTTCTTCAAGCACTGGAAGCTTTAATATTAATTTAATGTAATTAAATTAAGATGCCAAGAAATATATTAAGAAATATTACATTTCTTGCAAAATTATTTAGGGGAAAAATTCTACGTGGAGTTATAATATTGAAGTTGGCTTGTCTTTGAGCTGACTTTTATTAATTTAACGCATAGTTGGTTCAATATTGCTGCCCACCTTAATATGTACTTGGCCGGAATCTTCAGTAGCTTTGGAGAGAATTTAAATAGGCTACGGTCCATCAGCGAATCACACCGCTCAGTGTATTCTTTGCTTTGTTATTATGTTATTGACATACACTTGATCTAAGTTACTAGGCTTAAAGATAGCCGCTAAAAATGGCCAATAATATAAAAATTAATTGCTGTTCGTTAGTCTCGCTAAAACTCGAGAACGTCTTGGACCGATTTGGCTAATTTTGGTCTTGAATTATTTGTGGAATTACAGAGAATGTTTAAAAGGTAGATAAATATGAAAATGCTCGGAATTAAATAAAAATAACAATTTTCTTTTTCCTTTGATGTCCCCCCTACGAACGGATTTCTTTTGTTTGTTTTTAGTTTATTTTATACAAAAGTTTAGGTCTTTTATTTATCGATTGAGTCACAACGAATTCTGCCGGGTCAGCTAGTGACCAATAAAAATACCGTCCTTCCCAATCTTTTTTTTTTGGATTAACACGTTGACTGCCGCGTAGGTCACCGGTGACCTACGCGGCGCACTGNCTTTGATGTCCCCCCTACGAACGGATTTCTTTTGTTTGTTTTTAGTTTATTTTATACAAAAGTTTAGGTCTTTTATTTATCGATTGAGTCACAACGAATTCTGCCGGGTCAGCTAGTGACCAATAAAAATACCGTCCTTCCCAATCTTTTTTTTTTGGATTAACACGTTGACTGCCGCGTAGGTCACCGGTGACCTACGCGGCGCACTGGAGTAGTTATGTCGATTTCTGTTACTAAGCGCCTGGATAGCCTAACTTTGCCTTCTTTTGTTTAGTAATGTGTGTTTTAAACTTTTAGGTCTCTTAGAAATACTTTACTGGTGGTAGGACCTCTAGTGAGTCCGCGCGGGTAGGTATCACCACACTGCCTATTTCTGCCGTGAAGCAGTAATGCGTTTCGGTTTGAAGGGTGGGGCAGCCGTTGTAACTATAATTGAGACCTTAGAACTTATATCTCAAGGTGGGTGGCGCATCTACGTCTGATGTCTATGGGCTCCAGTAACCACTTAGCACCAGGTGGGCTGTGAACTAGTCCACCCACCTAAGTAATAAAAAAAAATTAGATCCATACAGTATCTTCGGATTCGTCTTTCCCAAAGTCTACTCTAGATATTCCGGGGCCTTAGTAAGAAGATCGAAGAGATAAATCTACTTACATAGTTACTTCTGTGCGCCGCGTATATAGAATATCACCGCTTACTTGGTGAAAAACAGTTACCGAAGTAATTGATATAGAAACACATATTGAATGCTGCACAGGATAAGGGGGGACAGTAGGAGCTATTGAAGGCTATGGAAGTCACAACTGTATTGTAACAGGATTGTCTCTTCAAAAGCATTACTGTTTCGCAGCAAAAACAGGCAAAATGGTAGTATACCTGAACCTTCGGGGTCACAATAGATCCTAGTCATTTTTAGCATTTGTTTGGTCATGACCCACGATAAAACTTTTGTAACGCTTATAAAAATTTTTTAATTATTTATTCGATTGGCAAAAAAGTATTGTTAATCCACTAGTTTCTTCAAACTAATACAATATACATGACTTTGTGTAATCTAAGTTGTATCAGTGATGATTTAATAAGTTAAGCTTGTAGAAACAGTTTTACGATACCTACTTGAAACACGTTATCAAAATCATATTATACAAAGTTATTTCTTTAAGATTTTATGTAACGCACTTGGAGGAAACCCTACCGGCTCTCTTCAAAAGCAATAAAAAACTCATCAATTCACAATAACCATGACATTGGCAGAAATACAACGTTAGGCAGCAATCAAATTGCCAGTCCCTTTGTCCAGATTATATGAAATTTAATGGCCACAGAGTTTTTGGATTGTGTCCGATTTGTTTAGGATTTCATTGCTCTCTGATAGCAGTTCTTTTTCAACTAAACGACCCTTTTAGAAATAAATGACCTGTGATTTTTACTCAAGTGGGTACAAAGCTTTTTGGAGTTTTTTTTTGTGGTACTACGATTTAAGGTTGATTTTGAAGCATTTAGGAAGTAATTTGATTACTTAAGGAATTTCTTGTTAATATCGATGGAATTAGACTTAGTTAAATATTCACAAAGTCTTTCTAGAGCTAAATCTACATTGGCAGATAAGAAAGCGAAGTTTCTTATGAATTTATTTTTAATCTATTAATTACTGGTGGTAGGACCTCTTGGGAGTCCGCACGGGTAGGTACCACCACCCCGCCTCGTGAAGCAGTAATGCGTTTCGGTTCGAAGGGTGGGGTAGCCGTTGTAACTATACTGAGACCTTAGAACTTATATCTCAAGATGGGTGGCGCATTTGCGTTGTAGATGTCTTTGGGCTCCAGTAACCACTTAACATCAGGTGGGCTGTGAGCTCGTCCATATATCTAATCAATAAAAAAAAAGGTAAATCGCTTCTCTAGATTATCTTGATTATCCTAATGAGCTTTGACAACCCTATCCCGAAAGCGGAGATATTGACAAAGACGTCTTATTTGTGCAAGTACTATTTAAAAAGGTAAGAAGGTGTGTCAATTTTACAAATATGTATGTAGTAAACGGTTAATTTGCCAACACAATTAAATTACGACCGCAGAGGCATGGGGTTCCCACGTGACGTAATAAAAATATACACGCAACATGACTCTTCAATTTGTCGGCAAAAAAGAACGGCAGGTTTTGCAGTTTTTTTTTTTAATTAAACCAAATTTTAATGTCTGTTCTGTGTATTTTTTCTCTTTCTGTGTTTGTAGTTGCCTATACACATTGAGAAGAGTGACTATTTTTCTTTCTAGATTAATACTAGATAGACAAAGCCCACGACCCACGTAGTATTATTAAGCGGATACCTTAGATCCTAGACATCAGTTGGATGTTGCAACCATCACATACGACCAGTCTAAATTAGATTGTAGGCTTTCCCAACCGCCAAAGCAGCAGTAATAGACTCATTCCCCTTGTACACCACGTATGAGATTAAGACCGTAAGAATTTGTATTCTTGTCGTGAGGATTTCCTCACGTTATATGAAAGAATATGAATACATGAAATGAAAGATGTGCCTAAAATTGTCAGTTGCTTATCTACAGTTGGAATTCTAATGTAACACGACTAGGTTGAAGGCGCAACAAATATAAAGTTATCGATAAATTTAAAGCTCAATCAAAATAAAAAGGGAGTGCCCTGAGGAATTGTTTGATATGAGCCCCTCATCTCCTTTTCATCATCGCACCTCCCGCCATCGGAACCGCTGCGTTCATCGACAGTGCGTTTCCAGAGGTCTTTTTTGCCACGTACCATTCGGCTATGGAATGAGCTCCCCTCCACGGTGTTTCCCGAGCGCTATGACATGTCCTTATTCAAACGAGGCTTGTGGAGAGTATTAAGTGGTAGGCAGCGGCTTGGCTCTGCCCGTGGCATTGCTGAAGTCTATGGGTGACGGTAGCCACTCACCATCAGGTAGACCGTATGCTCGTCTGCCTACAGGGGTAATAAAAAAAAACATGAAAAATAAATTGATCCATTACCACACTAAAATATTAAATGATAATACATAATTTTAAATGAGTGTAAAGTTGCAGTTCTCATACCAGTCCATTAGGAAATGAAACGAGCCCATAAAACAAGGGAATTACCTTGTTCTCCCCAAAACACATTTTTCACCGCTTTGGCGACAGTAGACCAAATGTTTTCTTTATTTGGTTCTAAATTTTCAGCCTCATCATCATTATCAGCTTCAGCAACATTTCTAAGGTTAAATTTCTTCTTTGTAATGGTAAATTTAAATTGTATTTCAGTTTCGTCATCCGATGTTCTAAGAATATTGCTCAGGCAGTTTTGCAAGGATCCAGCTATGTTGGCTGTTAATGCTGTTAAAGCCGTGCTCATGCCTAATTGTGGAGAATCTATACATGTTTTGTATGATTCTTCACTATCCCTTGAATAGTTTCCATCGATTATCGGACTCTCTTCTTTGAAATTAATAGCTCTAGCTGGCAGATTTGAAGGTTCTCCTACTGGTGGGGTAGTTTCTTGAGGTTTCTCTCTATTCGTTACAGGAGTTCTAGTTAACGTGTAACCCTGATTCTCGAAACGATTGATCAGAGCTTGGAAACGTGGGTTGTAGCAGAAACGTTTTTGTGGACCCGGGGTCAACATGCGTTTCGGTTTTCGGAACACTGAAATTATGAAAATTATGAAATAATAACATATTAAGCCTTAGAGTTCGTGATTGTATAGCCTCCGTAGCTCTCAGCAGCTCTGAGTCTTTTGCGGTAGGCAGCGGCTTGGCTCTGCTCCTGGCATTGCTGAAGTCCATGGGCGACGGTAACCACTTACCATCAGGTGGGCCGTACGCTCGTCTGCCTACAAAGGCAATAAAAAAAGTGCGTGCGTACAAAGTACACATGTCAGAAGTGAAACTTTTTTGGCAAACTAATTTATAAGTCTTGCTTATATTTATACAAATCTAAAACTTTAGATTTCCGAGACTTAGAGGAAGGGAAAAAGGAAGATATGTTCCCGCCAAAAGTCTGTCAAATATCAATCTCAAACCTCAGTGTTGACAGTCACATTATGTTTAGATTTCTAAATTGTAAATGACTAATATTTTGCCAATTGAATTGACTAATTTAATTTCATGCTATTTGATTAATGTTCCAAATTCTTTTCATTTCATTACAATTCCTATTAACATTTTTCACAAAAAAATCATAAAATATTAGGCTGTATGGTATGATGCATTTGCCTTTCCAGTTGGAAAAATACAACAACTACTACTACTGACATTTGACAAGTACTTAATTTCAATAGTAGTTTGATGTCACTTCCGTTGCATACCTGCTTGACGTTCTGTAAAAATTTTACCCCCACGCGGCTAAAGAAGTTTCACTTCAAAAAAAAAAAAAACAACAATTGTCTGCAGTAGCTACTTTCAGGTGTGTTTTTAGTTCTTAAAAACAATTTTTTAGATCAATTACCCCTTTTTAATTTAGGTTCCTGTTGAAAAACCGTATCGTCAGCAAATTTGACCTTTTTAGTTTTGCTCGAAACGTCAGCGTTATTGGAATCCTGAAAGGTCACGTGTTTTTCTGAACTATCTTGACTTCCAAGCTTCAGTCGAGTGCCAGTGACAATAATACTTTTAAGTTTAGGAGGCACAGATTCAGATTCAGATTTCGAAGGCTGAAATAGAAAATAGATAAATAATAAGTATTCGGACAGTAAGTAAACAACTAGGATACCTTAGACATAAAATATGTCTGTCGTGGAGCATTTATATTATGAATTTGTAAAAGCATATAAACATATTAAGTACGTTATGTTACGGTATTATGACTGGCTATCATCACTTATGAATATTTGCGATATCTATACTAATATTATAAAGAGGAAAGATTTGTTTGTTTGTTTGTTTCGAATAGGCTCCGAAACTACTGGACCGATTTGAAAAATTATTTTTCCATTAGAAGCCGACATTGTCCCTGATGAATATAGGCTACTTTTTTTTATTTTTTTTTTATTTTTTTTTTGGTTTCATGTGTGTTTTAATGTTTCCGAAGCGAAGCGAGGGCGGGTCGCTAGTCAGTAATATTGCTGTCCATTGCTGAGGACACATTCGTACCTCGTTTTAAGACATCGTGCTAGCGCTCCGATAATACCGATTTAAGTATAATTCCAAAGCCAGGTGGTATATGGCGAAAATTCTGTTGAAATACACTGTGATGAACGCAGTGGTTCCAATTAGAATGGGAGAATGGACTCTTCTTTTATTGTAGGATGCGTGATGGTATAATAAAAAAAAAACCTCAGAACACTCTCATAGAACGTATTGGTTTCAGCCTGAGGTTTGTAATGTGCTTTAATCAAGATAACTCATCTGCTAACGTAGACTAAAATATCTAAAAATACCTGGATAACAAGTTCAATAACCTCATTTCCTATACTCTGTGCAGGACTCTCTGTGTTTTCAATTTCAGATAGTGGTGAATCAGCTCCAGGATCTTTGAACAGTGACCAACTACCAGCGATCGGATGTGTCGGAGTACTTGTGGTCACCGTTTGGGCCAATTTCATCAGATTTAGTACATGAGAAGTTGGTGTGGTCATCTCCTTTTGTTCTTCTGAAATAACAATTATCGTTGTTGGATATTGATAATGAATAGTGAACAGATATTTCTGTATGTGAAGTCAACTCTTAAATTCGGTTTGTATTGACTTCAGTTTCCAATGGAAAAATATATTGACAAGATTTTTGTGATGCATATGAGTCGCAATTGAGATATTTTATTAAACAACCATTGAAACTTTCAATATGTTTTTTTTGCTATGATAGATGTACGATCTCTCGACCCACCAGATTTTCAGTGGTAATCGGAGCTCATAGACACCAACCACTTATATTATATATTATAATATACATTATATTTTGACGGATCGGTTGTTAAATCAGTAATGCTGAACAATAGCCGATTATGGTAGTCATGAAGTCCATGAATGATGAATCCATGAAACATGTATTCAGCAGTGAGACGAAAAGAAAAATTAAAGATGAGGAATGTAAACATACCTGTTTCATTTTCATTCCTCGATGGAGTGGTTTTAGTAACAGGAGATCCATCAACATTTCCATCATCTAGCGTCTCCTCATACTCTTCGACGACCTTCTGTCTCATCAGACTAAGCAGTTTCTTAACATGTGGAGTAGCCACCCTTTGTCTTTTTAATCTAGGAGTTTTACCAGCTGCTTCCGGGTGAGGGGTTCCAATACCTTCCGGTAGATTATCTTCGTCGCTTTCGCTAGATTCGTAATCAACTATATGTTTCTTTCTAACAACAGGGGTTATAACTGCTGTTCTATTGGCTTTAGTTTGAGCTTCATCTAAAATTTTTTCGTATAACGAATCAAATTTAACATCGACGTTAATTTCTTTAGCTTTTATCTCATTTTCTTTAATTAACTCCGATATACTAGTACATTCTTCGACATTGATAAGATCTTCCATTCTATTGAATTGCTTGTTACACTTTTTGCAGTACAGGGGAAGATGTTCTTGGAAAATATGTTTTATGAAATCTTCAGTCAAAGTTTGTGGGTTGCAGAGATAGTTGGAGCCTCTGCAGATCGGGCAGTCGTAAGTCAAGCCGTGCACGAACTTTTCGTGTCTTTGGCGGCAGTCGCCACAGCAGAAAACAAGTTGACAGATCACACAGCAAGCCTGAAGAAGCATTAAGGTTTTAAATACGGAACCATTATTTGTAAGCTGGATAAATTGAGGATTTATGAAAGATAAAAATACTTAGTCAACTACAAAGCAATACTATTTCCAAATTATAATTTTTCTAATACGTTTCCTTTACGTACAGAAACATTTAAACTATAAGGCTCTAGAATCAGCATCTTGGGCTTTCTCCAATCGTCAATGTACATGAGATAGAATTGTTATCCGCTGGGTCACTCTCAGAAATCAGAATCAAAAATGATGTCAGTGACAACATTTTTAGTTACTAATATTGGCCTATGTCCAGCAGTGGACGTCTCTGGGCTGATAAGAAGAAGATACAAAAATTATAATTTGCTTAATTACTGGTGGTAGGACTCACACTCTCGACACAAGAGTGTGAGTCCGCGCGGGTAGATACCACCACCCTGCCTATTTTTGCCGTCAAGCAGTGATGCGTTTCAGTTTGAAGGGTGGAGCAGCTGTTGTAACTTTACTTGAGACCTTGGAACTTGTATCTCAGGGTGGGTGGCACATTTGCGTTGTGAATGACTATGGGCTCCAGTAACCACTTAACACCAGGTGGGCTGTGAGCTCGTCCACCCAACTAAGCAATAAAAAAAAAGATACATTGACTGTAACATTTTATGAAATAGACTAATTCATTTAAACTACTCTCCTTTTTTCCCCCTACCTATTCATTGGCAGCCTAAGGGGCTATTCCAGCTATACTATAGCTGACAGGTGAGTGACCTGAGAGAATTTGCTAACACTGGCCCTAACAAGAGCAGTACTTTGCAGAATTTACGATTGGATCGGAATGGCGACCCACTGAGAAAATCCAGCGAGAAACTCAGTGTACTAATCTATTCATCACTTCTATTGTGAAACAAAGAACTATTATTAATAAAGTCCCAAAACAACTGGGGAAAATTGTAATGAAGTCGGACATGCATAGTGGTACACAAACCAATAAAAGGCACATGCATAAATCTACTTAAGTTAGAGATTAAACATTGTCCAACCTTCAAAAAGAAAACGCGGTGTGAAAAAAATATATAAATATTTTTCATTAAATCTTTATTTTAATTATTGTAAAAGTCGTACATAAGTTGATGAAGAAACAGAAATACTGATGTGGCTTAAAGGACTTTGTTTCCAAGCCAGTAATATTTATTAAAAAAAAAAAACATTGTCCACATTTGTCGTGTGATCTAAATAGTCATTTAATCGTTATCTGATTTACTCGTTACCTTATTGCTTGACAAAACACTTACCAGTCATCTAATTAGTCTAATGACTTTAGACCCATTAGAGCTGTATCTAATTAGTATTTGCATAATAGCGTCTTATCAGTTTCTGTCACTAATTGACTACTTGACCCGTTTACGAAGGTGCAAGTAATTGGCATCTTTCAAGTGGTAGCTTTGGAGACAAGAGAACGAATGAGGAGAGGAGAATGAATGCCGAGTATGGGTGGATATATCTCAGTGACTGGTATATTTGAATTTAAGTTGTGTTAAGGCGTTTTTTGATCGGAGACTAGGTATCAGCAAATGGCATTATCTTTTAAAACCATACCCAGATTAATCAACTTGTCCGTCTTAATTCAACCATATATTTCAGTTACAAAGGATGGTTGGTCATCTATATATATATATAAAAATGAATTGCTGTTCGTTAGTCTCGCTAAAACTCGAGAACGGCTGGACCGATTTGACTAATTTTGATCTTGAATTATTTGTGGAAGTCCAGAGAAGGTTTAAAAGGTAGCTAAATATGAAAAAACACTCGGAATTAAATAAAGATAACAATTTCGTTTTTCCTTTGATGTGTCCCCCCCCCGTCGGACGGATTCCTTTTGTTTGTTTTAAGTTTATTTTATACAAAAGCTTAGGTCTTTTATTTGCCGATTGAGGCACTACGAAGTCTGCCGGGTCAGCCAGTTATATATACAACTAGCTGTACCCGTCCGCTTCGCTGGGCATTTGAAAGTAACATTATTATTTCTCACCCCCACAAAGACTCTCACCATTAACGCCCCCGTAACTGGTGTAGGGAGTAAAACACTCATATATAGCCTATCCATTAAGTACATGCATTTTCTACATAGATACAAAGTTTCAAGTCAATCGGATGCATGGTTCAGTAGTTATAACGGAACATCGGTAAAAACCACTAGATTTATATATTAGTATAGATATCTCGACATTTATGTTTTAAAAAATCCGGCAAAAATTTAACAACAGTTCAACGTTAGCTCATCTCAAATATCTATGCATTAAAAATTCATAAAAAAATTATAATTCAAACATTACTTACCTTCGGGTCTGGTTTCATTTTTAATTCAATCGCCTCATTTTAAAATAAACTTCACGAACACCACATAAACATTCATAACAACACTTTAAACTTAATAAACCTTATTTATTAAATTAAATTTGTAAAAACTCTCGAGAGTATCGTTTATAATTTTTATTACACACTTAACTTCGCGTGTCGCCTTTTTTTCTCACTACCCACATAACTTTTGAGTCACCGAGGAGCACATTAATGCGCACATAATGTTTACACAATCAATAACTGCTTTAGATTATTTTGTCGTTGATAGGTACATACATATGTTGCTTATCCTACCTTTTTTTTTTATTGCTTAGATGGTTGGACGAGCTCACAGCCCACCTGGTGTTAAGTGGTTACTGGAGCTCATAGACATCTACAACGTAAATGCGCCACCCACCTTGAGATATAAGTTATAATGTATCAGTATAGTTACAACGGCTGCCCCACCCTTCAAACCGAAACGCATTACTGCTTCACGGTAGAAATAGGCAGGGTGGTTGTACCCACCCGTGCGGACTCACAAGAGGTCCTACCACGAGTAATTACGCAAATTATAATTTTGCGGGTTTCATTTTTTTATTACACGATGTTATTCCTTCACCGTGGAAGTCAGTCGTGAACATTTGTCGAGTACGTATTTCATTAGAAAAATTGGTACCAGACTGAGATTCGAACACCGGTGCATCGCTCAACACGAATGCGCCGGACGTCTTATCCGTTAGGCCATGACGACTTCAAAATTGTCGTTAATAGATACATACATATTTTATTATGTCGCTTATCCCACCTGTGTGATTAGTGCGATTTTTATATAATTTTATATAGGTAATAGCATTCTTGATCTCCTAAAAGTTAACTCAAAATAGTATGCAATTTGAACAGCGCCCCTAGCGGCAAACGTAGCCAACGTTCCAATTTATTTATTCCATACAAATTTGAGTTAACTTTTACGAGATCGAGAACTTTAAAAAACTCGCACCAATCACACTGGTATTTATTGAAATTATTACAACTGTCATATCAATACACAATCGAGTCTTTACCCCAATTATCAAGTAATCTTTTGTTAAGAAGTATACGAACGGGGTAAATATTGAGCCCTAGTTTTTTTATAGCATAGGTGGATGCACCAGTTCACGACTCATCTGGTGTAAGCTGGTCGCCATAAATGCAGCCACTTAGTTTGAGAAACGAGGATCAACCTTTAATTATACGTTTATCTCATCCTTCAAAGAGGACCGCACGATTCGCGGCATAAATGGTGGTACCCATGCAGGCTTACAATGTGCCTTACCAACAGTAAATGCTGATAGGAGATCGCGGTACATTAGTATACACAACTGCCCATTTTCTAGTAAATCTCTTAATCGCCTTTTACGACACCCACAGATAGAATTCAAATTTTTTTATTGCCTTGGTAGGCAGACGAGCTTACGGCCCATATGATGGTAAGTGGTTACCGTCGCCCATGGACTTCAGCAATGCCAGAAGCAGAGCCAAGCCGCTGCCTACCGTTAAGTACTCTCCATAAGCCTCGTTTGAAGAAGGATATGTCATAGCGCTCGGGAAACACCGTGGAGGGAAGCTCATTCCAAAGCCTGATGGTACGTGGCAAAAATAATCTCTGGAAGCGCACTGTGGATGAACGCAGTGACTCCAGGTAATTTCTGGACGTCATTGTAAAAAAGGATATGCGAGCGACGTCCGCCATGACACTTTTTCTCTTTCAAATTCCGCCGCCAAGAAGGAAGCAGCGGTTTATATTTCTTTGTATTCAGTCTTTAGTTTGTCATATTAGGACAAAAAAATATCTCAAAAAAAAAAAACAGTCCACGCTCATATACCACAACGCAACAGCTAGAGATGTGGTAGAACTAATCTAGGACGCCCAGCTAAATAATCATATTTTGAAGTCGATTACCGTAGAACATTTTCTTGGTCCAACGCAAAAATTATATTTACTTTACTGTTACATTATCGTTAACTTAAACAATGAAACAATAAATTTACTCAACAAAGAATATTCCCGGCGCCCGTTATTCGGTATCAAAAATCAACATGATGTAAAAGAAATCGTGAAAGCTTTTCATAAGCAAATACGTACACGTATCAGCAAAGAACGTATTTACCTTTGGGAAATCTTCCGCGGACTGACTGCGTCGATGTATCTCACCTTAGAATGATGAAAAATTATTTTCGAATACTATAGAAAACTGTGAAGGAATAGTTGATATTTCTTGAACGTAAAAAAATATGGTCGTAATACCTTTCGCTTGGAAGGCAGAACAACTATAACATGTCTAACGATCTATCTTATAAATAAGAAGTCGTCCTGACCTATGGGATCACTTCCTGTGCAATCGTACCTAGCGATGCAACGGTGTTCGAATCCCGCAGGCGGTTACCAATTTTTCAAATGAAATATGTACTTAACAAATGCTCACGATTGACTTCCACAGTGAAGGAATAACATCGTGTAATAAAAATTAAACCCGCAAAATTATAATTTGCGTAATTACTGGTGGTAGGACTTCTTGTCAGTCCGCATGGGTAGGTACCATCACCCCGCCTATTTCTGCCGTGAAGCATTAATGCGTTTCGGTTTGAAGGGTGGGGCATCCCTAATAACTATACTGAGACCTAAGAACTTATATCTCAAGGTGGGTGTCGCATTTACGTTAAGATTTAGAAACATGACTTAAAACACGCAGGTAAAGAGAGATTAAATATGCTATTCACACGATTAGGGAATCGAAGTGTAGATGAAGACAAGACCTTCCCCCTAGCGAGTCATATGACTCCGTAAACCGACGATCCAAATATTGTTGTTCAGAGCCTTTAGGTTTGCAAGCTTATCTTAAAAATTTGGTAAGTGAGCTTCAGACATCTGTCTGTCAAATATCTTGTGTTGTATGATGGCTACCCGCTACAGAAGCCACGACTTTCGGCCCAGAAGTTATCGGCGCTCACAGCTGAGTTACCGACTCAGTAATTTATGTCTCTATTTTTTTTGTTGCTTAGATGGGTGAACGAGCTCACGGCCCACCTGGTGTTAAATGGTTACTAGAGCACATAGACATCTGTAACGTAAATGCCGCCACCCACCTAAATTGGATTTTATGGATTACTTTAGTTTGCAAGTAAAAAATAAATCTTTAAATGGTATAAATCTTCAGTAACAATGAATCTTTAACTCGATGTTTACCATAAGCTCGGATTGTTAATTAAGATATATCCTATTTCTATCATAAAGCAGTTACGTGTTCTGTTTTGAAAATTGAGGCTATATTTGTCTTAGAACTCAAAGGGCAAATGCTATCAAGAACGAATTTCCTGTTAAAACCACAATCCAAACTAGTGGTGAAATGTGGTATCATGCATGAAATCGGGAAAGAGAAAACGGTGTTTAGCATTTAGTTTAACTAAGCCTTCACAAATTTTTTGTATATTTTGGACAAAAAAATCCATCAATAGTATTTACATTTTTTTATTGCTTAAATGGGACGAGCTCACGACCTACCTGATGTTAAGTGGTTACCGGAACCTATAGACATAAACAACGTAAATACCGCCTCCTACCTTGAGATATGAATTCTAAGTTTTCAGTTTTATACAGTAAACAATATATACTTTTACCAACTGCTTATGTAATAATATGCATTCAAAATAAGTTCTGGATATAGATTTGCTTGTCAGTCCTAGAAGTGATGTTATGGTTAAATTGCTAAAGATAATTTATCGCGGAGGAGATGTATGGAAATGATGGTGCAAGGTAGAGGGGGAAGAGGTCGACCGAAGAAGACATGGATGGAGTGTGTGAATGACGATAAGAGAGAGAGAGAGGAGTGAGTGTTGAGATGACGGCTGATAGAAGAGAATGGAAGAGAAAAATTAGCTGTGCCGACCCCACCCAGTGGGATAAGGTGGAGAAAAAGAAGATAATTTATCGCGGAGGTACAAACAAACAGTACATAACGTAATATATATTTTTGTTTTAATGTTTCACTCTAAGGGTGAGTACTGAGCATCGCTTGCGGCGAGTCCTCCGCTCTCCGGAGACGTCGTTAAGTCAATTAGACGACCTTAATTCGTTCTCGGTAGACGACACATTGACAAGCGGTAGCGGAAAGCGTAAAGGAAACCTACGTATTTATTCGTAAAAAGGAAACATAAGAAAATAATTTGTGTGAACAAAATATTATGATGTATTGATAAAAAATCATCTTTTGCCCGCGACTTCGTCCGCGTACTTTGGCATAACGCAAAATTTTACCCGCCTCTTCATTTACATAGAAAGTAAAAATATTTCTGCATAATATTGATTAGGATTGAGGATTTTTTTAGAACAAATTTGATTAGCATAAAAAACGTTATAGTGAGCCAACCTTAAAATATAGACATATGCTGTGCAGACTTTTTTTGAAATTCTCAAAAGGGAAAAATACTCCGATTTTGAAACACTTTTTATTGGTGCTCCACTTGCATTGGTCTTGGCGTGATGTTATATAGCCTTCCTCGATAAGTGTGCTATCTGAAACTGAAAGAATTTTTCAAATCGAAGCGCGCGTTCAAAGAAACAAACAAACAGAAAAAAACTCTAGCTTTATAATATTAAAGTATAGATATTTGTGTTGATTTACTTTTGATATTTTTTGTTTCTAAAAAGGGAGGAAAAAGTTAATTGTAACGTACCAGATATTATTATAATATGTACTTATATCACACAAAAGCGTCACTTTATCACAAACAATTGGCTACTAGTTGGTGAGTATGTAAATATTTGCTTTGAACTACAGCTATATTGTAACCGCTAATCGCTCCGCTATACTCAACATGTCGTTACCATTACACAAATGAGTCCTTCGGCATTCTTTCAGCGGGGCCCGCCCGGTCTTCATGTCCAATTAAACATTTTAATTATTTTTGTTTGTTTACCATCATAAAGTGATATGTTTAAATCAAATTATATCCAATTGTATTATATTTTTATAGTTTTC